TACTTCTCCTTCATAGAAGTGCGCACGACCGATAGACTCATAACCGTGTATTCAGACACTATTGAGTATTTACCAATCTTTATACATACTATCGTCTTATGTGTATAACCACGACTTTATGGTCACCGCCTAGAGTCCGACATTAATGTATGTAAAAATCGCTATATCTAGTTAAATCAATAGGAGTTGGTTGAGATAATCGATTTTGAAGTAGTGTAATGGGGTAAGGTGTTCGGAACGGGCGGGTGTTCGGGACGGGCGGGAATTACGTTATCGAATATATTATTTTGGGTGATACGGGAAGGATACCTAGTTAGGACTAGTGGCATGCCAGGTTTCGTGCTATGGCCCGATATCTTCGTGCCATGATCCTCGTCCTAAATAAATACTCTGCGACTTTTAAAGATTTATAATCCGAGTGAAAATAGTTAAGGGTTAATAGCTCGAATAGCTAAAGGCCTTTTAGATCCTCCTAGACCGCCGATCTAGTCAGTATAGAGCACGAATCTATAGCTACTCCTTTATTTACTAGGACGGCGAGGTTTCCACCGGTTAACGTGCCCTAGAATTCCGGTATAGCTATAATCTTAGTATCGGCATCGGAACTAAACTAGTCTATTATCGGACTTTAGGCGGTAACCATAAAGTCGTAGATCTTAATAGTGTGTACTAGTTAAAGTACCACGGTCGCGTAGGGTTGATCGTGCGTAACTAACGAAGCACTATAGTCGCGTAAGGTGATTATGCGTACTAGTTAAAGTACTATAATCGTGTAGGTAAAGATTGGCCGACTAAGATAGGGCCTAGTGGCAGAAGAAGTGCCGAGGATTTCTATCCTTAATCAATAACGATGTCAAACTTAATAACGATGTCAAACTTAATAACGATGTTAGACTTATAACAATATCAAACTTTTTTCAATTTAGCTAGGAAACATAGTAGTATTTATATCTTAGAAACATGGTTAAAGATCATATAGGAAAGGATAGAGTATTGGAGTGTTAGATAGTCTCCTGCCTAGGTAGGCAATTCAATGCGAGTATGCAATTCAATGCAAGATCGTTGAAGATCAATCTGATAGGTTTCACGCAGGAAAACAATGATGTAGTTTTATCGGAAGGAAAAGGGCTTAGTAAGTAGTCACATGACCACACAACATCCATATGTTGACAACATCTATATGTTGACATCTATCTTATTATAGCACTAACTCTCGTTAATATAGATGACGATAGGATTAGAAGGTAAGCCTAATAGAGTAGGATTATCTCCGATCACTATAGGATTAGCCTACGTGCCTAACTTAGGCTTAACGATAGAGTCGCGTACGACTACTTTAGGCTATTCACACAGCTAAGTAGGGAATAAAGCTTCGCTATATTAAATTAGTGAAATTAATTAATACTAGTAGAAGATCTCTTACTAAAGGTTTCGTGTTTATTGTCTGTAAAAAAAAGGCATATTAACTAGGCCTAGTATAAAAGACGGAATAAAATATATTTAGGATAATATAGAGAAAACTAAGTACTTAGATAAAATAGAAAGGCGAAGTTAGATTTTTAACTACTTTTTCACTAAGATAGCGTACGAGATATATTACTTTATACCTCTCGTTAGACAGATCACGTCTTACTTAGCCTATACGCTAAGATAGACTCGCTTGGAGACGTTTTAAGCTTAGAGGGCGAAAGCTCCGCTAGGGTAGTATCCGGGCGAGATCTACCTACTAATCGATTCTGTGACTGATGTATCGTGTAGGGTACTACCGCACGAATAACTCGCCCGCTTATCCGTTTAATCTAATAGCTACACCGTAAAGCGCTATTACTATTTCTGTAGAACCGTATATCTACGCATCGCCTACGCCCGGTTATCACTACCTAGTCGATAGAGCACTGCTTACTAGTCGTTACGTTACCCATGACCGAAGACAAAACGTGTAGGACGAACTGATATGGAGGCAATAGCTCCCACGTCGTCTCTTGTCCGCGTGACGCTCGTGCTCCACGAGTAAACCCTCTCTACCAATCGATCATGAATTCAACGGGGCTCCGGCGATAAGGCGTACTCGGTAGGGGGGGATAGGCTCCGGAATACGAAAGACGGCAAGAAAAACTGCGTGAGTCGACGTGAATGGATGTTTGCATGTAGCCTAACGAGGTCTCCCGGCGAGGTTTTCCGGTTCGGAGATCGTTCCTAAGGTTCGACATGACCGCCGTCAAGCCTTACGATCATCGTGAAAGGACGGGGTGTCACTATGATCGTCTCGTTAACTCTCGCGTACTTAGCAACCACTGGCCGATACCTATAGCGGCTAAGATAGTCCGGTCGTTCACCCTATAGCGGCTAAGATAGTCCGGTCGTTCACGTACGCTGACCAGTTCGATCCTAGTGTTCCCTAGTTCCGAAATGATACGTACGCCATTAGCTAAGGCTACTAATGTCTTCGCCCTCGATTTATAACCCTAAGGTAGATTTAAAGCCCTACTTAACATAGGGGATTATCTAGAAAGAGCGATACGCTAATACGCCTCGACGTACGTAAGTTCGACCGTCGGCTAACCGATTACGATATAACGCGCGAACGTGTAGGTTAGCGTAGCGAACTAGAGGCAAAAATACCTCATCCCTAGCGTTATAGCGAGAGAGCTAAGCGGAAACGGGGCACGGCGGGGGAAAGTAGCGCAGATCTAGGCTCGAGGGCTCGAAAGACGATAAGGGACTGGCCGGTTCGTGCCGACGATAAAGGGGCGACGGAGCTCGGTGATCCGGATTAATAGCAGAAATGTCTCACTAGCCGGTGATGCATAGGGAACGGGGAGAAAGAAAGAGTAGGAGGGGTGAAAAAACCATGAAATCTTGAAGCGGCGATGAAGGGGACTTTATAGCACCACGCACAAGGACGAGAGGTTAGCGATCAGCGCTAAACCCAAATAGGCACGCTATACCGTTTCGCGTAATTCAAAGGCCGCACCGGATACGTGATCTTTTCCCCTTCTGCCTATATATAGGGGATTATTAAAGTCACCCCGCCCCTTATTATATTGTCACCCCCCCCCCCCCCCCCCCTGTAAATGCCTGAATTTTTAGGCACTAAGACACTAAGGCTACTAACTTTTTTTCTGCCAAAAGTTCTGCTACCACCCTCTCTCCGCCTAGATTCTGCCACCCTTTCTACCACCCTTTCTACCTATCATCCACCATCACCCTACCACTTTAGTCTCTACAGTCTACCTTTCTAGTTTATCTAGTAAATCCACTATATAATCTACCGTTAAATACACGTTTTAATAGGGAAATCTACATCAAATTCATATAAATCTAATCAGTACTATAATCAGTAGTATAACCAGTCCTGGTTGCCTTACTGTGTAGGCCTGGTAGACCTAGTAGATCTCCTGGTTGCCTGGGTGATAGTGGATTCTTTATCCTCTGCAGAATCCTCTGCTACAACCTCCGAATCCTCCGTATCTTCTGAATCCTCTCGCGAAGGGCTACTACACCCACCACGCCTACACGAAGAAAGAAAGTGTCGGACTTTAGGCGGTGACCATAAAGTCGTGGTTATACACACAAGACGATAGTGTGTATAAGAATTGGTAAATACTCAACGTAGTGTCTGAATACACGGTTATGAGTCTATCGGTCGTGCGCACTTCTATGAAGGAGAAGTACCACGATTGTGGAAGAGTACCACTGATCTAGAAGAGAGATCACACAGGATGATAAACTTGATTTAATATAGCTAGGAAACAGGGCAGTATTTATATCATAAGAAACATGGTAAACGATCACATGAAAGATCAAGAGATTGGAGTGTTATATAGTCTCCTGCCTAGGTAGGCAATTCAATGCGAGATCGTTGAGGATCAATCTGATAGATCTTATAAAGAAGATCTAGATGTAGAGAGGGGTTATATGAGTGGGTCCTTCGTCATGTGACCCCACAACATCCATATGTTGACAGAAAGATTGGTGGTGGTTACGGAGGACTTAGTGGTGGTAGTGGATCTTAGGGGTGGGCGGTAAGGGCGGTGAGGGCGGTGAGGAAGATGGTGAGCGGGTGGTGGAAAGCGGTGAGGGCGGTGAGAGTAAGAGTGTGGAAGAATATTATTCCGGAAGTAAACAAGACAAAACTTTTGCCTTGGTGCCTTAATGCCTGAAAAATTCAGGCATTTACAGGCCAGGGGGTGAAAATATGATTGGGGGGGGGGGGGGGGTGACTTTAACAATCCCCTATATATATCGTTTAAAAAGGAAATGATTAATTGTAAGATTCATAAGTTCAAGCTTTTGTGTCTAACTATACATATATATACTCAAAGATTACTTAAAGTCACTTGAAAGTTTCTTAAACATACTTAAAATGGGGTAAAAACGGTGTGTTTGGTTGACTTCCGATACCGGACTAAGTAAGCTCCATACTCCATAAAATACACACGTACACGTGACTCTCCAGGATCCAGGCTGCCGCAAACGGCGACAAAACCCAAGAAGTATTAGTCAACCACTCGTAACCGCAATATTGGCGCGAAAAAACTAGACTTTGTCTTCTCCATGTACGATATCTAAAAGAACCTGTCGATATGAAACGGGTGACATCTAGAAGAACACACAAGAAGTCAAGGAATGGCTGTAGGCTCTGCAAAGTTCGCAAGGTGAAGGTATGTCCGCCCCGTATAGCGCTTTACAAATTATGCCGGAGGCGTTCACATCACTTCTTGCATAAAAAAATCAACGAGTATTCTAACTAAGATGACGAAAAGTGTGACGAAACCAAGCCAAGTTGCAACAACTGTGTCAAACATGGCATCGAATGCGATTTCAATAAAGAGGCTCCCGCCACCGGGACTTCGGAGATAGGCTCAATAGCTCCGTCACCATCAATAGAGGATCAAAACGCGAAGGCCTCCCCATCCGTCATCACTGCAGGTATAAGCCTTGCGGGTGGCAATCTAACATCAAATGGATATACCGGAGCACCAATTACAATAGCGGATATGGAGCTGCTTCATCACTACTCTACGTCCACCTGCTATACGGTATCTCGCTTGCCCATCCTCCAAACAGTCTGGCGCATCAGAGTGCCCAAGCTTGGGTTTTCTTCACCATTCGTCCTTCACGGGATTTTGTCCCTATCAGCGCTACATCTAGCTTATTTGAAGCCCGAGCAGCACGCGCAATATGTGACACAGGCCGAGTTTCATCACAATCTGGCCCTACAGATGGTGTCCGCGACTTTGCCCCTGATAGACGAGGAAAATGCGGCTGCTGTATACCTGTTTTCTACGATCACATCAATCATTTCTTGTGCTAAACCAAGACAACCGAATGATTTTTGGGTAATTGGCGACAGAGACATTGAATGGCTGACACTTTTCCGAGGCACTCGGTGGATCATCGCTAGTGCGGAGGATACCATCAAGTCCGGCGCTCTTTCACCGATCTTCAAGAACGGTGCAAGGAGGAGTTCCGCGCGCAATGCGAGATCTACCGTCAGATTGACCTACCTTGATGATCTGCGAAACTTGCTCACGAACCACGTAGCAGATGTCCATAGATTGGAAGTCTACTTTGGCGCGATCGAGGACCTGGGCAAGTCCTTCGCCACCGTGGAGGAGGAAGGCCCTCGAAATTGTCAAACGGCTGACGTGTTTGTTTGGCTGCTTCAGATGTCCGATGAATACCTCCAACTCCTTCGACAGCGAAAGCCCGAAGCCCTGGTCATTTTTTCGTATTTCTGTGTGATCACAAACGAGTTGGAATGGATGTGGTGGATGCAAGGGTTGAGCATTCATCTGATTCGTGGAATATACTACTTTCTGGACGAGGAGTATCGTTGTTGGCTGCAGTGGCCGATGGAACAGTTGGGTTGGGCTCCATGATGCGGTGGACATGATCAAATTTGAAGGAGATCGAAACAATAACGTCTCAGATTCAGAAAGAGATCAACAAGAATATCAACGTGAAATGGGTGAATCCAGACGCAGACGGAGAATTTGGTGCGTCATACTCATCTTGCAGCACTTCCTCTTGTACAGTATATTGACAGTCTCGCAGCCTCTAATGCATCATACGCTCATTCCACGTGTATCATGCTCGAAGAACCACAAACCTCACATGCATAGACCGTACTGCGTACCACAGAGAACCGATTCGCGGTCCTCAAGCCAGACATTGTTCTAACTTGCCAGTACTCTCATGTAAATTCGGCAGTTGAATTCGGTATTTGAAGATGTCTGCCTAAGAGAACGGGGCTTGACTTCGTCCTAATTGCCATTGATATTGACATACGAGCCCCAACTTTCGTATTCGGATCCTCGATCTGCTGTCGAGATTGAACTTTGAATCCTTATTTTCCCTTAATGGCTTCCGACCGCAGATCTTCGTAATCAACCCGTAGATCATCTTGCGTGGCGTTTATGGAAATGTTCTCGAGTGCCAAGAATTAGGCTTTTCTGCAAAGCCAGCCCCACTTAAACTTAGTTTTTTCCCGTTGGAGAATTTTCACCCAAAACATTCTACTGAAAATCGAACCACTCTTGGAACTATCGGCATTCTTTGGTGGTGATAGCGGAACCATCACCTCGGGTTCACGTTCGTGTATCGAGCGAGAGCTTAATTTCCATTTTGGAGTAAAGCATCCTTTGTGGACTACGCGGATGATGAAATTATGACGATGATTATTTTGAATGTCAAGAATCACTAGTGACGTAGACATCTCATCTTTATTGAATCGGATGCTGTGGAGCGGACTCCTGCAAATCCGAATGCGAGAATCCGAATCGCCATTTGATTATCCCTGAATGGACCATCTATTTTTGTAAACCGAAGCGGGACCTTGGATTTCGGATATGATAAAATCTCAGGGGCCTTGACTGAAAGTAGTCTCAGGTGGCTTTAAATGTAGAAAGATTCCTGGCTGTTCAGGTCTTCGTAATCGAAAAATCAATTGAGAAGACAACGCCTCAACATGCGTCTTTCACTATCTGCTATCGTGCTCGGCCTTTCGGGGTTGGCATATGCTAGCACAAATGCTTCAACTACCCTGACCAGCTCGCTCAGCACTTCCTCTGGCGTTCTTGAGATCCCTCAGGGATCAACCTGTGCTTGCGCGAAGCTTTCTCAGGCCATGCCCCAGAGCTTCATTCTTCCCGGATCGCAGAACTATACCACCGAGACTGTTGATAGCTACTGGGACATCCGTGCAGATCTTTCTCCAGCGTGTGTGATTGTGCCCTCCACTGCCGGTGAAGTCTCCGAAGCTGTCCGGATCATTAGCACTTGCCAGGCAAAGTTTGCGGTTCGTGGCGGAGGCCACATGAACGTGAGTTTATATCTATGATCGCACAATGGCAGTATAAGAGCTAACAAGGTATGTAGTACCCCGGTGCTAACAACATCGATGCTGGTGTCCTTATCGGATTGTCTAACCTGGACGCTATCGAGGTGAAGAATGGCAGTGTGGACGTGGGCCCGGGAAATAACTGGTACGACGTCTACTCTGCCCTTGAACCTTACGGTCGTGTTTGTATCGGAGGCCGTATGAAGACAATCGGTGTCCCGGGGTTGAGTTTGATCGGTGGATTCCACTACTTCAACAACAAGTACGGATATGCGATGGACAATGTGATCAGCTATGATATTGTCCTCGGCAACGGAACCCTCATTACTGTTACTAGGAGCGCCCACAGCGACCTTTTCTGGGCTCTGAAGGGAGGCGCAAACAACTACGGTATTGTCACTCGTTTCGAGCTGCGTACCTTTGATGTCCCCAAGATTAGCACGACCATTCAAGTTTTCAACGAGACCCACATTCCCGACTTTCTGTCCGCAATATGTGAAGCGGCCAAACTTGACGATGAAGACCCTATCGCTGCCGGCATGATTGCCACCATCACCTACAATGCGACAACTAAGATCCCGCAGGGCTCTGTCTTGGGTGTTCAGGCTGGTGTCAGCATGCCTCCATCTCAGTTCGCCAACTTCACTAAGATCCCTGCAACGGAGAGGATCAACAACATCACTACCATGAAGCCGTGGGCTGATACCCTTGACTCCCCTAAGCAAACTATGCGGTAGGTTCATAACCTCCGGCTCGCCATAACTATTTGAACTTACAGATATTTCAGTGTCCAATTCTCCCATAAGACCATGAAGCCCGATGCCAAAGTTCTTTATTCCATCTATAGTGCTTGGAAGGATGCCGTCGATGTGATTGCCGACGTCCAGGGCCTCTACCCTACTTTCGTGACTAATGTTATCTCGCCTACCTCGATTCGCGTGGCCAAGACCAATGGTGTTGGCAATGTGTGGGGCCTGGAGGAGGAACCTTTGATCAGTGAGTTTAATCTGATCTTATTCAATATCACAAATCAGCACATCTGACATTGATTTAGTTTGGCAATTCAGCACTGGCTGGGACTTGGCTCAGGATGATATCCGCATGGAGGCTTGGTCGCGCCAATTGGCTGAGCATCTTCACGGCCTTAACAACAAACTCGGACTTGCTTCCGAGTTCGTATACATGGGAGACGCCGGTGAATGGCAAGACCCTTTTGCCGGATTCCCCGGCAAGAACGTTGATCGTATGCGCGAGATTCGCTCTGCCTATGATCCCGCTGGAGTTTTCTCCATCCTCAGCTACGGCGGTTTTAAGCTCGGTCTTTAGATCGATCTCATATTTACACACTCGGTGCAGCATGGCTGGAAAGTTAATCGGAGTTGTGAATGTAAATATAGTTGTGTTCGAATTCAAGTGTTCGCTATGGGACTTGACCTATCGTCACAATCAAACTTTCATCAATCTGTACATCATAAATACATTTGACAGTTGTCAATTCAATCACATACGAATGAATTCTCTGGGATTGAGATGAAAATGATAAGTCAAGAGTCACATATCGATTTTGAAACGACTTTCTCTATAGCGACTCTACTCGGTTGCTGTCATGCTAACGTAGTTCCACGGTTGACGAACAACTTTTAAGCTTAACGTAATTCCCTCCCGACGGGGCCACTATATCTAAAATCGCGTATTCCTATCAACCTAGTTAATTTAACTAACTACTATACCACCAAGACGCATTGAATCTAGCCAAAAGTCGGCTTACTAAGAGGGCAAGATCCTATTAGCCCTTTCCGATCTAAAAGAGGGCCGTATTAAATCTATACGTGCCGTAGCCGCCCTATACGTAATACCTCGCTCTACCCTATAATACCGCGTTAATAGTCGAACGTCACGCGTTGATAAGCGCCTAAGTAGTCATAAATTAACCTAAACCGAAGAGGATTCGGTTAATAAGTAGATAATCTGTAACTATAGATACGCGTAGGGCAGCCCCTAGACCCTCTATAGTACGAGATATAGCTAATATCTAGACCTCGGCAGAGTCTAAACCCGCCTATATCTAAACCCGCCCGAACCCGTCCGTAGACGGGTTTAGATACCCTATTAATTATCTATAGGCGGGTAGATTAAGGGGGTATCCGCCTACTATCTAAACCTACTCGCCTAAACCCGCCTACGCGGGGTAGTCGTAAGATATATAGAATTATATAGTAATATAGAGTATTTTAAGGTATTTTAGTTATAAAAAGTCTAGATTATATTAGTATAGAGTAACAGGAATTCCGAAAAGTAATAATTTCTATTTATTCTAACTCCCTAAGCTACTTAGAAGATCTAATTATCCTTCCTAATATACACTTTTTACTAGTTTCCTCTAGTAATAGAAGAACTCTATTAGTATTATTATTATTTCTATTACTAGTTTTATCTTCCCTTCTAGGTTAAGTACTTAGTAAGAGTATCTACTAACTAGATATCTTAATAGTTAGCTAAGTATTATTTAGACTAGATATAGATTCTTCCTCTTTAGTATTACTAATCTTATCTATTGATCAATCAATCAATCGATATTTATAGACCCGATCTAACTTCCTTTATATATAGGTATTATACAGGGATTTATATCTTACTTTTCCAGTAGTAGACATAGAGGGAAGACGGTAGCAGAAAACTAGCTAGCTAAACCGTCGGCGAGAGATTATAGATCCTAGGCGTTAAAATCTACGTTAGGTCCTAAATAATCAGGCCACATAACCGGCTAGTTAGCCTAGCCACGGCGCGAGCTATAACCGAAGCTATAGCTATAGCGCGGGCTATAGAATCAGACCGCCTAGTCTACCGCCTACGCGTATAAGAAGGGAAGTAGTATAAACGCGGTAAACTAACTAGACTAAAGTAAATAAATAAAGGAAATAGGCTAAACGAAGGAAGGGAAATCGCTATAATCCCCTTAGTCTCTAAGTCCCCCGATTATATAGGCGCTCTCGCCTATATAATCTTTAATCTCTTAACGCCGCTAACCCCTAGCGGTTACTATAAGCCCTCGAGACGGTTAATCCCTACTATTAAATCCTTTAAACCTATTTAAATCTATTAATCTTTACTGAACCTTATCCTTCCTACCTCCGAATATCCTTCTCTCCTTCTCCTACGGTTAGTATCCTCGATTTACCGAGATCCCGTATTACTAGGGTACCTCTCTACTATAATATACTATATCCTCCTCGCGACGTCCCCGGTTAGCCTAATCTTATATTAATAGAATACCCCGAGATATCTAATACTATATAAAACTACTACGTCGGCCGTAGCTACTTTTATATATATAATAGAAGTTAAGGAGGACTAGTAGACCTAGTACTAGCCCTCTAGTTATAAGAGTTATTAGGATCCTACTCCTACTATCTCTAGATAAGAGATAGTTCGTTATTATCTAAGGCGAAACTAAGAGATTCCTAAGTATCCTCTAGTTCTTCTAGTTCTTCTAGCGTAGCTAGTTCTTCTAGCGCTTCTACGCCTATAGCTATCGGGTCTATATTAAGGAACTATCCTAGAAGTCCTATCTCTAGTATAAATTCGGCTATAATATACCTAGCTTCTTTCCTACTAAGAAGCTCGTTAGTTCTAACTACTATAGAGATATTGTCGGACTCTAGGCGGTAACCATAAAGTCGTGGTTATACACACAAGACGATAGTGTGCATAAGGATTGGTAAATACTTAATATAGTGTCTGAATACACGGTTATGAGTCTATCAGTCGTGTATACTTCTTATGAAGAAGGAGAAGTACCACGATTGTGGAAGAGTACCACCGATCCAGAAGAGAGATCACAAAGGATGATAAACTTGATTTAATTCAACTAGGAAACATAGTAGTATTTATATCACAAGAAACATAGTAAAAGGTTATATAATAAATCAACAGAATCAGAGTGTTAAGAGTCTCTTGCTTAGGTAGGTAATTATATACGAGATCGTTAAGGATCAATCTGTTAGATCTTTATAGAAGAAGATCTATATATAGAGAGGGGGTATATAAGTGGGTCCTTCGTTATGTAACCCTACAATATCTATATATTAACACACCCCCTTAGTTCTCGATATAAGAGCGGAATAAGAGCAAAGTGAGAACTGAATAAGAGAAAAGAGAATGACTAGCTAGGAGGTAGTATCTCTATGCCTAGTTATTTAATGAATTCGATATGCTTCTGCCTAGGTAGGCACTTAGTAAGACCGTCTGCGGGTATATCGGTAGTCTTTACCTATTAGATAGATAGGCGCTTTACCTATATCTCTTAACGAATCTATAGGCGGTTAATATCCACGTAACGAAGTTTAGTCTAAAAGACTGATTTCTCGCGATTTAATAGGTTAACGGTTTACTTATTATCGTAATTTAACACTTCTTGCTATTTAGTATTAAATTCGATAAATTCGAATAGGCGTTTAACCTAGTATAGCTACTTAGCTACGTGTAAGATAGCTAGTAATTTAGCTTCTATAGTAGATATAGTAATCGTCTTCTACCTACGAGATTTCTACTCGATTAGACTACCGAATAAAGAGAAGATAAAACCTTCTGATAACTTTTTATTAGGATTATCAGCGAAACTCGTATCGGACGAAGTAGTAAAGATCTAGTAATCTAATTAGCTACTACTAAAATAGATAGCTAGGTCTTTTATCCTGTATAGGTAGGAAATTAGGTAGTTAATAGTAGCTAGGTACTTCTTATCGTAGCGTGTAAGAGATTTAGCTAGTAGCTAATTAGCGAAAGCGGTATCCGGTCGTGTCTAAACGGCGGGGAAAAGGGTTAAACTATACTTCTGCTAGTATAGTTTAATAGTTAATAGGTTAATTTAATTAGTGATCGGATTAAGACGTTAATTACTAACTAGTGGTGTATTAGGCGGTTTTCTGCTTAGGAGATTAAATTTAGTAGTAATCTTTTTAATATAGGCTAATTAGTTTAGCTAGGTCTTTCGTCGCTATCGGTCGCGTATAATTCGAATACCGATAAATTAGGTAAGTTCGCTATAGTCCGTTATCTCGAATCGTTATAAGAGAAGTTACTTTACCTAGTGAGCGTGTAAGCTCTTACTCTTATAGTATATAGCTAGGAAATCATCTATAAATACTATAATAACTATACGATTATTAGTGTAAAGTGTAGGATCTTTAGGATAAGATTTAAAGCCTAGTGAGAGAAGTATCTCTTTCACGTCGTCTTCCTATCTGTTATGATATCCTGATATTGAGGTTATTCGCAGACTGATGCCCCAGGCCGCACGAGGCCCGGGCGTTCTGCTAAGAGGGTGCCGACCCGGCGGTCAGTCGATAGCTCCTCGGTGGCGTATCTAAAGGGCTACCCTGTCGGTAGGCCACGTTGGCTGGTTACACAACCTTTCAGCTCATGCACGCTCATACCGTGGTTACCCCTCTTCTAGTTCCCTGTTTTGTATGAGAGACTGTATATAAATTTGGGACCTTGAGGAGTAGGTTCAGACTCCTCAAGAAACAGTCTTGCCACGAATTTCACTAGGTGCTTCCAACCTTACCTGATAAACAGGTTTTCTACCCTGCAAGTAGTTATCTTTACACTATCGTTTACTAACGATTCGAAGACTATATACTACCTTATATAGGCGAAGGACCTTAGTCTTTCGTCCTAAACCTAGTAGGTACTAGTAGTATACTTCTTCTTTAAGATCGCTATTTAGGAAAGCGTTAATAGTATCTATTTAAAAGGTCTCGAGGTTAAAATACGTGATAATCGCTATAAGCGTACGAAAGGTCCTAGCAGTAAGCGTACTAGTAAATAGGTCTTCTAATTCGTCTAGTGTTTATATATCTCCGCGTATATATAGACGCGCTTTAAAGCGTGTGAGGTATCCTAATTCGTTAGATTTATAGGCAAAGACCTATCTTATTAGTATAAGCTAGTAGCGTGAGTAATCTAATTAGTTAAGATCTTTGTAATTCGATTAGTGTGTGTATCTAACGAGATCTTTATTAATAGGTTCGAATACGTGTATATCTAGAAGCTTATTAAATTCGATTCGTATAGCTTATCGGAATTAGTTTTCGAAAGGATAACTAGCTAATTAGTGGTAGCTAGGTAGTAGTAGAGGAATTAATAAGATCGTAATCTTTAGTTATTAGTATTGATTAGATAAGAAAGCTTAGAGATAGGTTATAAGGGATAAGTAAGGGCGTTTTCTCTCACTTTCGTCGTCGGTTAAGTCGGAATCTAATCGTGGGCGTTTAGTTAGTATATTAAGAGGTTTATATCTAGAAGGGTCGAAGTTTATATTATTA